GTCTCTCTAGCCTTCTTTGCAGTCTCCCCTTGGGTATGTGATGAACTATATGAAGTATATGGTGAAATACTGGTGGTGGGGCGATTAAAAAGAAACTCCTGGGTTGGGGATGGTGGCACACGTCTTTAATCCTAGCACTCAGGAGGTAGAGGTAAGCAAATAGATCTCTGAGTTCAAGGCCAATCTAGTCTATACAGTGAGTTCTAGACTACTCCAGGACTACACTGTGAAGTCTTATCTAAAAACAAAAGAGAAGTCAAGGCTGGCAAGATGGATCAATGGACTTGAGTTCTATTCCCAGCACACACCAGTTGTCTCACAACTATCGGAAATCCTCTGTGGGTATCTGCACTCGAATGTGCACACCCTTTCCCATGCATATACTTTAAAATATAGATAAAATAAATAAACAAATTCCTGGGAATTAACAGAGAGGCACAAAAACAAAGGACCCCCTTTTCTGTCTTTGGATATATGGAGATAGGATTCCTGGAGATACAGCAGCCAACTTATGATCATGAGCAGTTACACCCAAGGGTTTAATCAAGACATGAGTAGAGAAAAAAATAGAAGAGGTGTGGATCTTGACCATATGTCTGACTAACTTATAACTAGTCTATAGCTAGCTACTAACTTCTCAATATCTTGTTTTGAGAATATTGCTGGGCTGCTTCTGGCTATATAGCTCAGTTTTTATAGTTGAAAACATTTTTGTGGATAGGGCACAAACTCCTGTCCCTATACCCATGAGCACTACAGAGTACATTCTCTAGCGCTCTCTCCCAAGACACCTTTACTGTATTGATTGCCACTGAGACTCTCACTTTCTGCTCATGTGGAATGATGGGGTATAGTGATTAATTTTCTGTCAAATGCTAGGGCCAGGGGTAAGAAAGTAGACAGCTGAGTGACAAAGAGACTGTCAATAGAGCTTAGGCGAGAGCGTCAGTTTATCAAGCCAACTTCAGCGCTATTATCTCATGTCTTTGAAGAACAAAGGTCCAGAGCAGAGCGGTCCAGGGGAGTTGAGGGGGGGTGTTTTGACATGCTTTTATCCACAGCGGTCTTAGGGGGGTGTGACCCTGTAAGCCTGAGTGGTGGGGAGGAAACACCGGCACACTCAGTGTATCTAGCTTTCCACTCTGGGGTTTGGAGGCAACCAGTAGCAAAGGACCAAGGTTGCCGTGACTCCCAGCCAGGCACTTGGACGCACTGAAAGAAGGTATTCTAGCCTGTGAGGGAGAGGCAGATCAAGGGCGCTTGAGCTTAGATGATGTCACTTTTGTCCTAAGCCTCTCCTTCTGACCCAGAGCATGAAAATCCACTAGGTCTCACTCCTGTCTGGGGCTACACTTCAGCCAGCCAGTCTCCTGGACAATCCGGGCTCTGTTTGCTTCTCTCTCTTCAGTCTAGGGGCACGAAGGGTGGGTCCTCATACAGTGGGACGAGGCTGTTCTGGGGTGCTCATTGCCCCACCCCCTCCCCGTTCCCACCTTTCACCATTTCCCCTCTGTCCTCTGATGCAGCCACAGGAGTAGTCACTGGGCTCCCCACAGCTCCTTCCTCACCTTGTGCCTGTGCAGCTATGGCCCCTTCTGTGGCAAACTTTTAATGTGTTCCTGGTAAAAAAAAAAAAAGCCCTGCCTGTCATTTAGAACCAACTTAAAGTGAGCTTCTCTCTTGGTTCCTCTTCACATATGCCCCATGAAAGTAGTGGGCACCTGGCTGAGTGCTTGGCATGTGCAAAGTACTCAGTAAGAGCCTGTGGGGCTGAGCTGGGTTGAGCTAATGCAAATCCAAGGCTGCCTCTTTGTGGCTCTACATTTGTTTGTAAATCTATTGCCTTCCCTACATAACTACTTAGGTGCCTTGAGGGCAGCCACCAGGCATCCATTCAGCCTGTGCTTTTCTAAATTCTTCCATGCTGACCGCTGACTGTGCAAGTTATAGACCACCAGCCTTCCTTAGTGTGCAGACCGCTTCATGGGCTTCTGTCACTTGGCACACAGCCAGCTTCATGAGCGATGCGTGTGAAGTTGGCATTATCTCCACGGGAGAGATAAGAAACCTTGGGCTTAGATTGATGGGTGACCTGGACACAGTTACATAGCTGGGAAGTAGCCAAAGGGGGGTCTGCAGTCCTGACTCATTGGCTCCTGGGTTTTTGGTTTTGTAGTTTTGGGACAGGATCTCACCATGTAGTTCAGGCTGGACCAGATCTTGCCATTTTTCTGCCAGGACTTCCTAAGTGCTTACAGGTGTGGGCCACAGTGTTCTTTCATATTTTATGTCGTGTTTCCTCTAGTTTAAATACTTTTTTTTTTTTTTTAAAAAAAAAAAAGCTTCTTCGGGTTGAAAGGAATTCAGTTTCTCTTGCTATGCTCTCTAATTTGTCATTGGTGGAGGCTGAAGGAGTTAATAAACCTGGTTAGGACTGACTGGCCCCAGTGGAACTGAGAATGGCCAGGGAATGCTTTAGAATTTGTTGAGGGTTTCTGGCTGGCTAGGTTTCCCCACACAGAATTCTGCAGTCATTCCCTGTAGTTGACTCTTGAGCTCCAACTAGAAGCTGCTGTGGCAGGACCTAGGGTAGACTGACAACTCATAGGGTGAGTGTCCTGTTCCCAAAAATGAGCATGACTCTGACCATGCCGCCTCAGTGATCTTCCTAGGTCTGAGAATTGCTTTGTTTTTCCAATGAAATACTACTTTTATTTATTTTTTTGAGACATAGTCTTCTATGTAGCTCAGTCTTGAGACCAACTCTTTTACTAGCCTCCTGCCTCAGCCTCCTCAGTGTGAAATGCCACCTCTTGATGTGTCTATCAGTAGGCACGGAATTCCTCGTCTCTCTCCTTATGTGGGTTTCTGTGAAGATATACTTTGGTGTGTGACTCTCTCGTTCCTGTCTGTTTGGGAATGCACTTCAAAATGTTTGTGTTTCATTGTTCATGTCGCATATGTGCAATGGGCATGAGTACTACGTTTTATGTGTGGTGTTGTGTGTTCTGTCTGTGTATTTGTAAATTGTGGTGTATTATATATAGGTATTGAGGTATTCTAGGTATTACAGATGTTGATTATGTGTGCTACCTATGTATGTTGGGTAAGTGTGTTGAGCTGTATTTTGTGTTTTGGGTGTTTGTGTTATATGCCTGTGTATTGTATCTGTCTGGGGCAGGTGTTAGGTTAGGCATGTGTCTTGTTGTGTAAGTGAGTATTCATTTGTTCAAGAGTGTTAAGTGTGTATTCTGTGTTTAGAATGTTTATTGAAAATTTATGTGTTGGGTGTTTGTGATATACAGCTGTGTTATATCTGTGTTTGGGGTGAGTGTTTCATTGTATGTTGTGTATTTGTGTTGTGATAGAGAGAAAGAGAGAATGTGTGTGTGTGTGTGTGTGTGTGTGTGTGTGTGTGTGTGTGTGTGTGTGCTGGCAGCAGAGGCAAAATGTGGAAGAGGAGGAATGTGTCTTCTTCCTAGGAACAGTAGGGGCATTGAGAATCTCTAAATCCCTAATCTCTTCACCCAAGATTAAGCAAATAAAATTGTTGGTCTGAAGAAGTTAGATTCTTGGTGACTCCAAAGAGACAGTGGCAAGTGAGCCAAGGAGCTTAGCTTCCTATCAGCCGGGTGATAAAGGGGCTTGGGCTCTGAATGACAGTTGGGGCCATATGCTCTAATCCGATTACCAAGAGACTCAATGTCACTCTATATTAATGGCAGATTTTTGAAAACAGTTCTAAAGAGTTAGCATTCATCGTCTAAAGACTTCAGTTATTGCTTAGAATGCAATAATATTAGCCTGAGACCTGAGGCTAAGGGAGAGGAGTTGGCACAGTTGGGGCAAGGAACAGGAGACCGATCAGCCCCCAGGGCTTCATCTGAGCTGTCAGCTTCTCCCCACTCAGAAGAGACCCTGGGGAGTGGGCCACAGCACTATGGCTGAGTGAGGAGCCAATATAACACCCAGTAAATAATGTTTGGAGTTCTCTAGGTATGCTTTAATCCCTATGCGGGGAATTCTCCACCACAAAGCTGCGGGATTTAGCATCTTTAATGTTTAACTTATTTGGGAGGAAAATATTACAGCATGGCAGGGGAGAATAGGGAACCCTGATCATCTCTGGGACTGTCCATAGAGACCCCAGTGTTAGCAGGACATAAGGATACAATTTTCAGGTAACAAACACTTTTGAGGCCTGGATTGCAACTACTTGGCTGCTCCGTTTCCAATCCAAACCAGGTCCTTAAAGCCTGAGGCTCATTTCTCAGCACTGACCAAGGTCAAGGATGTACACATTCCCTTAATGGAAGACCTGCTCCTGGAGTATGCAGAAATTTAAGGGATTGGAGCGTGCTTTGAACAGAACTTCACCTGGAAGGTGACTGGTGAATTATGTCATTTTAAATACCCTTAGCCTGAGTGTGCATGCCTAGTGAATTTGGGGCAGTATCTGGATGTAGTCCTCAAGCAAGGAGCATGCAACATTCATGAAATAATTCAGTTTGCCAACAAGCCTGGACTAAGAAGTCAGTTGTCTTATTGAGTGACAATAATTTGCTTGTAGTTCTGGTTAGAAATCAAGATTATACAGTTCCATACTCTGCTTTTCCTGATGTGAAAATGTGAGATGATCCTCTGTTGCTATTTCTCTCTCTCATTTTAGCAACTTGAAGACACTGGGAAGTCTTAGCTAAGTTCACTAACCACTTTCTTCAGCAATCCTCAATTGTCGGTCCTCCAGGGAATGAATAATCTCTGACTTGAGTTGGCCATTACCATCCCTTTGGGCTTATCAACTGACTATGTAGATTCCTAGTGCCACTCTAGGTTCAGTCATAATTTCATGGCCATAGCTCCCCATTGAAAACTGGTGGTCTGTCACATTTGGGAACTATTGTTCCTGGGCATCTTTATGAAGAGGTTGACCAACCGAGAGTCATAATTGATAACTGTTGGGATTCCTTTAATCAAAAATCTCTTTTGGGTATACATGGATTTAGAAGTATAAAGAGTAGAACTGTAGACTTGCATGAGTCCATCTTTGTTACTTATGTTTTATAGCTAAGAAGTAGGAAGCTTTGCTAAAGGGAATGACTTGACCAGTCTCTCCCATTCAATGAGGGGCAGAACCAACTTTCAGACTCCGTTGTTGAATCCCAAAGCCCACAGTCCTTCATCTATGTGATACCTACAAGAAAGAAAGACATATGTGGATCATGAATTCCATGGCTCATCTGTTCTTGTGGATTTTATCTAAATGTGTGCCTTCTTATAGCTTTTATCATAGTTGTTTTCTTATGCTATGTCCCCATATAGAAAATGGTCCACATCTATTAGACACACACACAAACTTAAATATCTCTGAACATGAATCAGAGTTAGCCCACAGGAGCCACTCATCATCCAGAATACAAGAGTTGGATTCACACTGAATCCAATGTAGCTGAAGGAAGTTAGACTGTCTGAATCAGAAAGAAAACCTGCTTCTTCCCTGGGAAGCCATGATTGATGTAAGCAAAGGAGTAGTCAGAATAAAGAGTAATGGAATACTTTCTTCCTGCCTTCCTTATTTAGAACACATGAATACTCTAGGGAGAGTTAGATATCAATGGTGTCAGCAGTAGTCAGGGTGGAGCTGGAGACAGCCCCATGCTCTTGCCTGCAGCAGCTTGAGAGGAGCTCTTTTTAGAGACACCCACTCAGGTGGAGTCTGAATTCTTGACTTTCCTGCAGAAAAGAACTTCAGGATCAGCTAGTATGAGACAGAGGTGGAAGTTGTTAAGAAAAGATCTTAACAAGGATTTAAGCAAAAGAATCAAAAGGAAGAGACGCATTTAGGAAAAAAACTGCATACCTATCCACACAGGTCATCCTTACAGCATATACAGCATGCTGTACAGAAAGGGGGTTAAGGTGGGGTTTTAAAGTGGACATCAGAAAGCTATGTATTACAAATATCCATGGAACCCACAGCTGGACAAGAAAGTTGTTTTACTTTCTTACTCTATTGTAATAAAAAATAATAAATGCCTTTAAGTTTCAGCCTGAAAGACTTTCTCTCAGAGTCCAAAGGAGGCTCTACAGCCAAGAAGGAAACTAGATTTAAGGGTTGAGGAATGAATCTGTTCATATCATACTTTGTTGCATGTCTTTTTATTCTCCTGCTTCTCTAAGTCTATAGCTTCTTTTCAGCTCTCATTCTTAGCTCTTCTCTTGCCTGACTATCCTTACATTTCTAACAGAAGACTCCTTGCAATCCTGAGAAAACTTTCAAAACCCTAAAGGTCATAGCACATTCCTAGAGCAGATAAGGAGCAGAGCCATTACCATGGTAACACAAGCTTCCAAGGTCTTGGGACCAGAGGGAGGGAGCACAGTACCCAGTATGACATACTCTGAGACATAACTTTTTATCAGTAGACTAGGCAAGCAAGGAATTGGTAAGCTTTTCTTAGGGTGTTTTGTCTTAGTAACCTTGGTAAGATACCTGCAACTCTGACTTTGTGCAAAATTGTAAAGTTTTAAACTTATCTATTTACAAAGTCTAGTTTGAACTTGCTCTGAGGCAAAAATGAGCTAAATTCATGCAGTTTATGTTAGACTCAGGAGAGATTATTATTTTCTGTGTTAGTCTGAGCAAAAGGCACAAAGCAGGCTTTAAGTGTCTACAGTCTTGTGGGAAAATGAATCTGGCTATGAAGCATATCCTAGTATATTTTCTATATATTAAAATTATACAGCTAAATGAAAAGCCACCTTCCTGACCACCCACAGATATATGTGCCCATAAGATTGAGATGTAATCATGAGATTACATATACACATTACATGAAGATGCATGGTAATGGGGAGATATCATAACTATAATTGCACAAGAAATCTACAACAAGAAACAGCCAATTCATTCAAAAGGCAATAATTCCAAAACACCCTGCATTTTGGTTTAATCTTCCATCAGAATCCTTGACTCTGGTGGGTTGGCTTTTTTTTATGTCAGCTGAATTTCCCACTGCATAATCCTGTGGCCTGCAATAGCTCGTGATAATGGCTCCTAACAAAAAAGACCATTCCATCTCTTTCCCATAACGATAAGCAAGTTTTACAGAAGCAAAGGGAGCTGTTAATACCTCACAGGCCATTATCCTATTCTTATCTCACCTGCAGGCCACTAGGATCTCCCAAGAATTCCAGAGCAAAAGGTCAATGGCCCTTAAGGGATGCCTGGTTCCATATTATGTTTCTTTAGTCATCACAGGGACCTGTGTAAATTATTACTCGGGTCTGAGAACTCTGGGATAGAGCAGTTCATTTCTGGACAAGCAAAACCACAGCACCATTGGCTTAGAATTGGCTGTCACTTCCTCACAGTGTGATTCATGCTGTTACAGCCAATAGAGCAAAACTGTAGATTGTGGATGTTGGGTAAAGGAACTCAAGTAAGTTGTTAATGCAAGGGAAATTTTTAGTTTTGTTTGTGAGGTTTCCATAAAGCTCAGGTTTGTATCCAGACAAGGTGTACATCCATACCCAATGGTCAAATGTGCTTAGGTTTATAAACATGCCTCATGGCTAGTTTAACATTCTTATTTGAAATATCTATACAAAATGAATATTATCTCTATGCAGGCAGTTTCCACAGAAAATTTGGTTAACTCTGCTGTAATTCTTAACTCTTAGGTGGTGAGAGATTTCAACCAGACACCTGAGTAAGAAACTCCTTTCCTATCCCATGTTCTCTTGGTTTTCCCTGACTTTCTGTTCTACCTCTGCTGATCCTATAAGCGATGAGAGAACCATTTCTATCTACTGGGCCAGAGAAAAACTGTGTGGCCTGGGCCAATGACTAGGGACAGTGGAATCAATGAGGGATCTTCTCACATGTGCTGCAAGAAGGAGTAAAGGTCAGAGGAGGAGAGAGAGATGGTAACATTATTTGGGGAGCTTGTTTATGCAAAAACCTAAAATGGAGAAGGGAACAGAGGGGCAGGAGGAGGAGAGAGGGTTTCAAAATGGAAGATCTAGGAGAATGATTCTCTTCTGCCTTCGCAGAGCTCTTCCATTTAAGTCACAAGCTTTTGGGTGGCGGGGGGAAGAAACTGTGTTAATGTCTCCAATTATGTCGCAAATACACCAAGTGTCAGTAAACCCTGGACAATAGTGGGTGAAATCTGCTGTATTGCTGGTTATGTGTGGCAAAACCATGCAGTTTAATCGTACAAACCTCTGGTTGTATCTGAAGCAAACCAGGAGGTGCTTGGAAAGAGAAGTCAATATCTGTGGTGACGTGTTATTTGTATGTTAATAAATAAAGCATGCCTAGAGATCAGAGGAAGCGGCCAGCCATTTTTAAGTAAACATAGAAGTCAGGCAATGGTAGCACATGCCCTTAATCTGATCATGTGGGAGGCAGGGTCTCTGTGTGTTCAAGGACACACTAGGGAACAGCCAAGCCTGGTGACACACGCCTTTAATTCCAGTACCAACCATAGAGACCTGGAGGTCTGTACAGACAGGCAGTGACAAGGAAGTGAGGTAGCTGGGCTAAGGGCCAATGAGAGGGCAGAACAGCAAGGCAATAAAGGCATGGGTAAGACAGGAAGTAGCCCCCTTTGGGTAGCTGCAGGGCTGGAGAGGTAAGGTTGGTGGCTATCACTATTTCCCTGATCTCTAAGGCTTCCACCCCTATATTTGGCTCTGTGTTTCTTATTTAATAAGACGGTTTAGAAATTTGTCTACACAATTCCTTCTCCTCTGAGTCTGACAGTCCCAGAGCCTCATGTTTAGAGACTGTTGACAGTTTAGACACTATTGTCTTTTATGTAATCACATACAAAAATCCCTTCTAAAATGTGAGCATTGGGATGACAGACAGGGAAAGTATAGTGAAGAGCGCAGCTGAGTCCCAGCCCATAGATGTCAGTAGACTCAAAAGGATATAGCTCATAGAAGGGCGATTCCAAGCTGCCTCCACAGCCCAACCAGGTCCGGCATCTGCTTCTGCTTTGTCAGGCAGCTCACCCTTCGGATGTCCATGTCAAAGACCACTGCCATTCTCGGCTTGTCTTGGTGGCACTTTGACAGCCAATAGCCTCCCCTCAGATCAATGCTCTCTGCCAGTCACAGCCATGGTGGTGACCTCCCAACTTCTCTGCATTGAGGAATGTATTCTTTTTCATTGATTTGGGGTGATAGTGGACAGAACTGCAGGGGAAAGGAAATCCAACCGAGTGTGTTAGTGGTCATCATAGGGAGGTGAAAGCAAGCTCAGCTCCTTGTCTAGTCTCTTGGAATCTGAACTGGGTGGGGCATCGAGTGAGAAACAGGGAAAACAAAATGTGCAGATTTTTGTTAGATCTCAAAGCTGGGCAAATGGCTGAGGTGCCTATTTAATATATCAAAGTGGACCTGGCCTCCAGGTTCTCCCAGCATCCCTCAGTCCCTATCCGTTAGAGGGTAGAGCTGGCATACCCCCTACCCTAAACTTCCCCAGGGGCTGGGCTGCTCTTTTCCCAGTTTCTTTCCCTATATAATCCAGCCATTTTGGTTCCCTGGCCCTTTTCCTTTGGGTCTACCCTTTACCCTCCTGGCCTCTTGGTCTGGCCCTCCCCTCTTCTTCTTCCTCCTCTCCTCACATAGTCTGGCTCAGGGTCATGTTCACTCTGGACCATTCCAGGTGCCTCTGGCCATGCTCTCCCTTTTATCTACAATAAACCTCCTCCTCCACCATACCTAGGAGCAGTCATGTCCTTCCTTTTTGATTTTTTTTTTCTTTTCCATTCATTTTTCAGTTGGGCCTAGCTCTTTGGCTGGTTATCTGAGATCCTCCAAGACTCAAATAGAGGCTACTTTCGGATAGATTTTCTGTCTGCCTTTCTTTCTTCCTTCCACATGTCTCTACCCTTTCCCTTCTTTTTTCCTTCCTCCTCTCTCAACTGTCCTCTCTCTTCTTCTCTCCCTTCCCTCTCTCCATTTACAAGAAAAGAACTGGGGAACAATAAAGGACATGTAAGTGTCAATAGAGTGTTCCAGGTAAGAAGACTCTCTTGGTTGCCGTATTAGTTACTTCCTCCATCACTAGGAGAAAACCTGACTGAAAGCCATGTAAGGGAGAGGGCACGCATCTGGACTTGCATTTAGAGGGGCTCAAGTTACTCATGGCCAGGATGGCACAGGGATGGTGGCAGAGTGCTGTTGGGACACTGGCAGCCTCTCACGTGTGGGAGGATCAGGAAACAGACTAGATAAGAAGTGAGATGGGTTATATAAAACTGAAGTCTTCCCATCTTCCTCCAGCTCAACCCCACCTCGTGAAAGAGCCACACCCTCCCCAGGACAGTGGGAGTCCAGCATTCAAACTCAGGAGCCTGCAGGGAACATGAGATATTTCAGCTATCAAAGTTAGGATGGATTCAGCCAGGGAGCAAAGTGGATAGACTCAGTTGCTTATGATCAAAGTTCCTCAAAAACATCCCCAGATACTCTGTTGAGGCTCCAGTTCTAAAAATTATAGACATAATTTTTAAGCATTAAGCTGTGAGCATTGCCTAATCTTTCAAATCTTTACTCAGAAGACAGACTTGTACCCAAGGCAAATGAAGGAAGTCTTCAGTAAACACGCATTGACTGGCTTAATCCTTCCATTCCCTGAAATGAGATTTGGAGTTGCATTCTTTTTCTTAGGTGTTTTTGTCTGGATCTGTGGCTGGCTGAGTCTGTGGATGAAGGAAACTGCTTTTACATACTGTCATTAACAATGGTGGGTCTGGGACACTGCTTTACCTTCTTTTTTTTTCCAATAAATCCTCTTGGCTCTAAATACCGATTCTCAATTTGCTATCCTGATATGGACTTCCCTCCAGGCTTGAGTTTTGTGGTCTTTGTCCTGTGTCTGATACTGAGGCTTTTGAATGAAAAATAAAAAAGAAAGAAAGAAAGAAGAGAAAAAGGAAAGGAAAAGAAACCACACGACTGGTCCTGGGTTTTGGTACCAGATGGATGAAAACAAAGAAAGAAAAAGGAAAGGAAAATGAATGACTGCTCCTAGGTATGACGGAGGAGAAAATTTATTATTATAAATATGTGGGAGAACATAGCCAGAGGCAGGGCCATCTGGGAGAGTCCAGAGTGGACATGACCCTGAGCTGTGCCATGTGGGGAGAAGGGGATGGGAAGGGAGAGATGAGACAGGGTAACCAGGTGCAACAGCCAGGAGTCTCAAAGATTCAAAAAGACCAGGTAACCAAAATGGTTGGATTCTTTAGGGAAGAGCATCCCAGCCCCATGGGCTAGAGAAGTTGAAGGTAGGGGTGGGGTATGCCAGCCGGGAGGACCCTGTCACCAGTAGGGACTGAGGGCTTGTAGGGAGAACCTGGTGGCCAGCATCCACTTTGATGTGTTAAATAGGCACCTCATCCATTTGCCCCAGGTTTGAAACCTAACAGCTTTCATGCTCTGATGTAAGTTCACAAAAAAAGTTAAACTGCCTCTGCAGAGGGTCTTGGCGTTTGTCCCTTGTGACTGTGTGAATTCTCACTTGGATGTCTTCCCACTCGCTCCTCCTCACTTGACATGCCTGGACTTTCACCACCTTCTTTCCAGGTTAATGGCACCAAGGTTTTGCCCATGGGTGGTGGGGGTATCGGGGGACATCTTTAGGACTTGTTGACTTTTTTTCTTATTCCAAATTTTGAAAAAGAATTACTGATATTTTCAGGACTATCTTGAGGACCTTTGAGAAATATCCAATGGTAGCTGAACGATATCTATACAGAAAATGAAGAATTTAATTTGCACAAGTCATTGGGTCTCAAAGTAACAAAAGAGGAAAATGAGTAAGAGGTTAAAATTATAGAGCAGAAACAAGACGTTACCGAAGTATAGGAAAATGGAAGGTTGGTGAAAGTTGCCTGCTGAGCAGAGAGGCCTGGGCATGTGGAGAGAGTCAGGGAGTTATTCACTGAGGCATAACCACTGCAACTGAGTTCTGAGGGCTGATTCTGCATTGCATTGAGCCACTGGTGCTTATTAATTGGACCTCCTAACATTTGAACTCTGTGTTGTGGTGAGTGTGGGGCCAACCATTCCTTCTAGCTTGTTCTTAAACCGATACCTTGAAAACAGTTAAACGCCACATAGAGAGTATTTTTTTTTTAGTTTTGTTTCTCAGCCACTGATTAAACATATTTTGTTTTGTTTTGTTTTTAGAGAGGGAGTCTCAATCTACAGTCCAGGTCAGTATTGAACTCACTATGTTGATTGAGCTGGCCTTGAACTTGTGGCAATCCTCCCACTTCTGCCTAGGGGTTATTTGCATGCACCACAAAGCCTGTTTATTTATTTGCATATTTATCAAGCAAAAAACACAAATTGGCCAGTTGCTAAACAAATAATTATTCTAATTCCATGCAACCAGTCTCCCATATGTCTACTTCTGCAATATGTATGTATATATGTGTTTGTGTATGTATATGTGTGCATATGTTTGTGTAAATATGTATGACTTTATGAAGGTCTTCATTGATTTTTAATATTACTATCAAATTATTAATATTAAGCAATATTGGTATATTTGGCTTTAGTTTTTATATTTTTTTCTTTTTGAAATAGAGTCTCACTATATAACCCAGGATGAATTTGATTTCAAATTTACCTTGGCCTTTTAAATGCAGGCTTACACCACCATGCTGTGGGATAGTCTGTATGTCAAATTGCTCTTATTGGTCAATAAATAAAACACTGATTGGCCAGTGGCCAGGCAGGAAGTATAGGAGGGACTAACAGAGAGGAGAACAGAGAAAACAGGAAGGTGGAGGGAGTCACTGCCAGCTGCGGCCTTGACAAGCAGCATGTGAAGACGCCGGTAAGCCACGAGCCACGTGGCAAGGTATAGGTTTATGGAAATGGATTAATTTAAGCTATAAGAACAGTTAGCAAGAAGCCTGGCACAGCCATACAGTTTGTAAGCAATATAAGTCTCTGTGTTTACTTCATTGGGTCTGAGTGGCTGTGGGTCTGGCGGGTGACAGAGATTTGTCCTGACTATGGGCAAGGCAGGGAAACTCTAGCTACACCACCATCCGTACCTCACAGGATATGTAACTTTTACTAACTGTCCTTGCATTAATGGGCTCTTATTATCTAGCCCAGACTGCCCTTAAACTTGTAGACCTCCTGCCTCTGCTTCTTGGTTGCTGATATCACAAGTCTGTATCAGCAAATTTCCTCTCTTTTATTTTTTAGTGAAGAAAGGGAAGTTTACTCAGAAATACAGCTTATAAATTTGAGCATTAAGTTTTTTTCAGGGCAATATGCCTCTAACACCCTTGATACCCAGTCTTCTACAGGATCCATGATAGGCATACCTCACTCAAAACACTGAAATCTGAAACACTCCAAGTCAAAACTTTCATGTCACAAAACTGTGTATATGCACAGAGTTATTAAAGTATTTTACAAATCACTCTCAGGTTATATGGACACATTATCTATGAGACATAAATTAATTTTATGTATCAACATGGGTCTCATCACTGAGCTGTTCTATTATATGTGTACAAAAATATTCCAAAATAAAAACAAGAACCCAAATTAAATACTACTGGTTCCAAGTAATTCAGATAAGGGAGACTAACTGGAATTAATTCTGAACACATAAAACATTTAGGTATGTTTTGAATTACCTTTCTTTTTGAATTGTCCCACATAGACGGGTGGCAGTGGCACATGCCTTTAAACCCAGCACTCCAGAGGCAGAGCCAGGCAGATCTCTGTGAGTTCGAGGCCAGCCTGGTCTACAGAGCGAGATCCAGGACAGGCACCAAAACTGCACAGAGAAACTCTGTCTTGAAAAACAAAAACGACAACAAAAAATTGTTCCACACAATGTTTTTATTCTGCTCAATCCATGTTTTCTACTTTGGGTATTCTGCTGCCTGGGGGGGACCAGTCTCCAGCAGTGCAGGACTCAAAGGGAATCTGTAGAGTTGGCATACTATGACTTTTTTATCTGAGGGCATAAGGAAAAAGACACTCACAGACTCTCTTGAGGGTTCCCTTCTTCTGTATTCTTCATTCTGTGTTCTATATTCTCTTTCCTTATCTCTATCCAGAAATGCCCCTTCTGTCTCTCTCGATGTTTTCCTTCTAACTCTATCTTTATTCTTTCGTATTCTCTCATTCTTGATGTTTTTCTTCTACCTCTCCCTTTATTCTTTCCCTTACAGCTTATCTGCCCCAGCAAAATCTTTCAGGCAACATAAAATTATAATGTGGATACATTCTGTTTTTCAAGGGAATGATTATAAGGAATCCAGGTAAAAATATGTTTTTCATCTCCCTGATATGATTAAAACAAAATCATCCCAAGAACTCACATACATTTGTACTAAGTAACTTGTTATAGATTAACAGAGTATGAGCAAGTAGGGCATTTTTCTCAGTCAGTTCTTTTGCTGGCAAGCTGCATATTGTGGTTACAAAAAAAGAATCAATCACTTTATTATTTATCTTGAAAAATAATCTTACAAGGACTCTTAAAGGAAATAAACCTAAACTTTTTTTTTTTACATGGAAAACAATCAGTCTGCTGTACTTTAAATCTTTAGGGTGCATACCCACTCATCAATGGCTTTTCTTATCAGGAGGTTGAGGGTAGAAATGGGTATAAGGAATTAATTATCACCTTTGGTCATCAACAAATCCTAGCAAGAAAGGCATGTCAGCCAATGATAATTGGGCTGCTTTGTTCTTGTTCCCTGACCTTAAAAAGTTCCTCTCTCAACTATGTGCCTTTCTAAAACTTTAGATTGTCTTCTTGGATTTTTCACCTCAAAGCTATTGAACAAAAACATCTTAGTCTTTAAGTTATGTTCAAAGCTTTGTTTCAATTATTATGTACTCTGAAACCTGTGAACACATCTCCCAACATTAAGATTAAAATAATTTAACC